GCCTGGACCTCACTGTTTTTTCCCTGGCCACCTTGGCACAGAACCTCTCCTCTTGTCAGTTTTTGCCACCTCCTCCAGGAAGCCTCCTCTCACAACACCTTTCCTCCCCCTCTTGGCCATGCACATTGGCACCTTTTTTTTTTCCCCCTTTGGGGAAAGAAGTTTAGTCACTGCCTTGCCTCCAGCTCCTGGTCCTGAATCTGGCACAAGGGCAGGGAAAGTTTTGATGAGTGAATCGGTGAATCTACGACGGTGAAACCACTGTGATTAGGCATGAGACTGCCTGTTCTCCGGGGTCTTCCTGGGATCCCTCTCTGAGATCTGTTGCCCCAGGATGGGCAGGCAGCTGTTGCAGATCGTCTTTGTTCTGTCTTTGGGAAGGGAGGAGAGAATCTCTGGGTGACCCTAAGGAAGGACCCTGTGCCTGGCAGGGCTCAGTGGGGGCTGTGGCCTGGTGACTCCATCTGAGTTTGGAAAGATGGGGGCTGCTGTGGCTCTTAAGGGGTTCCTACCCCCACACGGTGCTCTATAGGAGGCTCACCCATGAGCAGAAGAATCCTACCTGGACTAAGGACACCCCTCCATGCTGCCTGGGGGGCACAGATTTAGTCCCTCTTCCAGGATCTGCAGTGACCTCCATGTGGCGGTTTCAAAATGACCACCACCACCCTTTTTCAAAGCTGGGAGAAGGGCTGTTCTCGTCCTCACATGTACAGGGACTTGGAAGGCAGTGGCCATCAGCCTGCCACACGGAGCTGTCTCCATAATTCAGTTTTAAAGCATGAAAAAGGGAGTTGATGAAATTCCGCTATCAGCTCCGAGCCAATATGCAAAATATCTCACCCCCAATCAAATAGCTATTATGTTTTCATTCCCAAGCGGCGTCCGGCTTAATGAGCAGGAGACGGATGGGCGCTTGGGCGTCTGCGCCTTGTGATAACCGAGGGGCTCGGGGCACGATGGGGGCTGCTCCCAGTGCTGCCCTGGCTGTGGGTGACCACCACGGTAGCCTGTGGATGCCACTGAGAAGTGCAGTCTTGTACTGGGACCTCTCCAACCTGGAGAGCAGCCAAACAACAGGGCCTCACTACAGGTGATAGGAGGTGTGGCTCCACACTGTGCTCAAGAGGCAGCCTGTCTCAGCATGTCTGAATGTGGTCCCAGTTCCTTTCTCTCCTGGCAGCGTCCACTTGCCTCTTCCTTGAGGATCATGGGCAAGCTGTCTTGCCTTAGTTGGATGGGCCTCAGTGTACCCATCCATAAAGGTGGTATGACTCAGACTTCCCTTGGAGGGGCGGCGATTGGCTGCTTGTGGAAATGGAATTTAGATGGGACTGGCCTCAGGTTCCCCACTGTACACCCTCCATTTTCTTTGCCCCCATCCCATGGCACCCAGTCTGGCTCATATCACATATTGTGTATGATCTCTACATTCCAAGATCTAATCCAGCATGAACACTCTGTGCCTTAGCTTCCCCATCTGTGACAGGACTGTAAGATGACCTCACTAGGCTATGTAAGTGGGAGGGGTCAAAGAAGGACATTTTTGAAGTTCTGAGCCAAGGCCCCTTGTACACAGTTTGTGCTTAATAACTGCTTTCCCCATCTCTTGGCCCTGTTGAGCTATTGGTGGCAGTAACCAGTGACAGCTGGTGTTTGCAAAGCACTGGCCCCCAGCACCCTAAGCTTCACTCTGATAGTGCCGGCAAGCCCTCCTGGGAGGCTGCAGCTGTGTAGTTTCCATTCGTAGCTGAGGAGACGGAGTACAGAAAGGTAGAGCAGTTTGCCCAAGGTCACAGAGCAAGGACACCATTTTTATCTGTCATTCTGCCTGTTGGGGACAGTGAGGTTCCCCAAGGGACCCTAGCATAGGACATCTTGGGGGGGGGTCAAGTTCCCCCTTTTCTACTCCCTATAGCTCCCTTGTTCTAGGTGTGCTTGAGGGCCAGTGCCAGCTTAGGCTCCATTGGAGCCAAATGAGGGCTC